GTTTACAAGAGCAGTTTTGTTCTTCTCTCAAACTGTTCACTGCAGTTATTTCATACGTACTTATCTGCACTCCTCTGAGCTCATGATTGTCATTGAGGAAGTCTATAATCTGGAAATACTGTACTAAGCCCTGAATAGATGGTACTTCTAATAATACACATGTATCTGAGGGATGGCTTCTACCATATTCGTCTCTTGTATGAGAATCAAATATCTTATAACTCCCATTATCAGTACAATAGATACTGACATTGTTTACATTCTATTGTCAGAATAAATGAAGAGGAATTTTGGGACATGAGTGATTCAAAAGCCCTTTCTGTAGACATACTGTACTGATATTCCTCAGACAAAACAATCACTGACAGTAATTCTGTTTGCATTAAATACAACTGCCCTGTACATCATGACAGTGTTGAATACAATTGATTACCCATCTCCAAAATGTGTGCCAGATATGTACTCCTTTTATCTTATTATAAATCAGAGCAATCAAACTCATAGCAACACATTGTTTTCCAGCATTTTCATCAAAGTACATAATATCACCTTCACTATATGGTGCCCTGATTGTTAGAATAGGATCAATACCGTGTATGGGAGACCTACAATTTGTTTCAATGTCATTACACACATATGCATTCTGTGTAGCACAATGACCTCTGTGGCTTGCATTCCTGTACACACTTGTTAATGTATTGAATTTTTTCTGGTCTTCACAAGCATCGCTGGGTGCCTCCAAAACGTAGTGATTGATGCGTGTTTTTATTTTCTTCATATCATCGGCCTTGGCACGTTCATCTACGGCAGACATGATTTCGTCCAAGGCCACACAGGCACATGCAAGGTACTCCTCCAAGTGTTTTGTCACAGCGAGCGGTTTAGCTGAAGTTTTAATCACTTTAAGGTAGTTTGAGAAGGCGTCAAACACTTCAGTTTGAGCTTGTTTGATCTCTGGCGTAGGAGCTTCTCGTATTCCTGCCAATTCTTTCATGGTGTTTAAGTTATAGTTTAAATCTCCTGCGGTCGCTTCTGTTCTCTAATCGTAAATCATACCGATGAGTTTACAACGTACAGACCAAGGGCGAGTTTTAAAAGCAGAAGGCATCGTTCTGTCTTGTGTGCAGTCTAGATATCAAATGGTAAAAAATAGTATGTAGTGGCAGTGTTTTATAGAAGCGGGCTGTCAATCACGTGTGGGCGTGGACTCTTGATCCGTGAATAGTAGGCGTTTCTTACAAGGGGAAATGTCATCCTCGTGCTGGTATCGTACAAATTTCAAAAATGCCTGCATCATCTTCCACCGTAATTCCCATGTTTTTCTATCGTAATCGTTCTCGTCGGGGGAAAAGTGTTTCAAGTACTGTTCGGCATCTCGAATCACTCTTCTTAAGGCATCTTCGTCAGAGTGAAACTCCATGACATCGAAGAGTTCATCCATGGCCAACACACCAAGTCTGGGGTTCGTTTCTAAGCTAGGGTTCATGGTGAATGAGAATGATTTGTATGTAGTCCCACCACGAGTTGATATAGGAAAATCGCACAATAGATAGCGTCGCGTCCCTGTTAAAAATAGATAGCGTCGCGCCCCTTTCGGTTGGCATCGCGTCCCTTTTATTTGGCATCACGTCCCTTTTCGTTGGCGTCGCGTCCCTTTTAGTTGGCGTCGCGTCTCTTGTAAAACAAGGGTTGTAAATCACACGAGAAGGGGGTATTGTTCTCGAGTGTATAAAGCTAGAGCGATTCCTGCACTCAGCACAGTCGATAGCAGCGACTAGATGCGCCGGATGGAAACGCCAAGGAAGAAACCTTCCAAGGGAGTCAAAAGTAGGAGAAATCATCCGTATGCCAACGACGTGCCATTACACTTTAAGAAAGAATCGGCTGAAAAGCACCCTGATGGAAAGGTCATGATCGATGGTATTCCTCAAGTCGCCCAAGAACCCAAAAGCAAGAAAAACTGGTCTAAGAAGAAAAATTCCAAAAATCTAACCTTAGATATCCCACCCCCTTCACAGACCGTAGAGGAGTGGAAAGAATTTTGGAAACAACGTGTAGAAGCTTGCAAGGCGCAAGATGAACCGGTAAAGCAAGAACCTGTCATACCTGAGCCTGTGTATGATCCATTAATGCAGCTCGCGAACGCGGTAGATTCTATAGTGTCCGATGTACGACAGCAACCCATACATCAACAACCTATTTAGCCACCCCACCACCACAAGCGCAAGTCGAGGTCGTAGAGGAAGGAGAGATTCCCGAAGCAGGTATGGTCTCAGGGTCTATGCACTATGGTACTTTGGAAGAATTACTGGCCGACTTAGGAGTCTGCTACCCTTGCCCCATTCGCAACGCGCCCATGTACCAATTGAATTCTAAAAAGAATGGTGTCAAGATGTGTTTTTTCGTTGTCCCGTCCACAACTGCCCCGTGTTTACCAGTTTGAAGGATTTCAATGTGTATTACGAGCAATGTCGCAGACAAGATCACGATTGGTTTACCCTAGACAAGATAGAAGTCATGCAGTGCTAGTGTGGCGAGACTCCTACATTGGTCATGTCCAAGAACCAAAAAATTTCAACAAGATGTATTTGCGATGTGGCAGAAAGTATTGCAGTTTATACCATTAGTGGCGATTTATGCCTAACGAAAAAACCATGACTATTCTTACACGTTGATTATGTGATTCTAGATTCGGAGACGTCGGAACCCGAAGATATTATCACCATCAAAGTGCAAGTAGGAGAACAATTACTTTATAGATTGTTTCGATATACGAACTTAAACGTTCGCTTTCATAATGCCGCATGGATGTCTTCAAAGTTATGGCAAAAGTTGTTACCTAGTATAAACGTACGCACGTTTGTCTCGGCATTCTAGGGAATCCATGACTTTGTGTCGCTTTCTAAATTGTGGATACGCTGTTGTCCCAGTACCGACAGCATGTCTGTACACCTCTTACGCATTGTAATGTTTTTTCTGTCTTTAGAGGAAAAGATTGTAGAATGGAGTATTCCTACTGTACTCTTGTTAAAATTAATACATGAAGGATTTTTGTACGCTTTAGAAGTACTAGAGGATCAATTTATTTCTTAGATCTTCAAGAAGGACTCCAAATAACTTACGCCACGGGTAACGCGACTAAGCTGGAAGAACTTACTAAGGAAGACATCTTTGAAATAGCGCAGTTGATTGGGTTTTCAAAGTTTAAGAAAGTATCGGCTAGATTAAATGTCACCGAAGACGAACTACGTTGTATTAAACGCGATCTCGAATTGTACGATTATGCGGCAGATAAATAAATAACAGTGTTGTCTTGTATCAAGCGTCATTGCATCATGCCACTGTCTTCGAAACTCCTTTACGCGCACTATTCCTTACTCTCCTTTCTTTGCCGGAGAATATAAAATATCGTTTATACCCCACAAGAGAGAGTAGCCTTTGATTAGATTCCTCTCGGATGCGAAGTGTAATTGTACCAATACGTGGTGAGACCAGCCACCTTTTCCCTGTCGCAAAGGGTGTTTCACTTGATGTTATTCATGAGATCGTATCGGGAGAGATACACATATAACGTCTATCGTCAACTGTACTCGCAGTACCTTTGTAAGTACTGGACGACTTACTACTGCGTGAAACTTTGGTGTTCTCTCTTTTCAAAATATATTACCGAGTCACATGCCTAACTACGAACACCCGGTACCCTCGGGAGTCTGGGAGGTATTCACCCGTAAGCTAAAGCCCAAAAAAGTCCCCTCTCGCAAGCGAAAAAGGAATTGGAAAGAAATTTAGCGTACACGCTACACAAACCGCGTCGCCGCCGAGGAGAGTTTGCACCCGTCGTAGTCTTTGTCGAGCAAAGGGTGGCCGATTTGATCGAAATACAGACTATTGCTAAAGAAAATAAAGGCTTCCGCTACATTTTGATCGTGGTAGATGCCTTTTCAAATTATGCCTGGGCGGAACCCCTTAAAAAGAAAACGGGGAAAGAGGTGACGGACGCGTTTACCAAAAATCATAAAACAAGGCAGGAAACCTCAGAAATTACAAACGGATGCCGGGAAAGAATTTTACACCAAGACATTTCAAGCATGGTTAGCGGCGCAAGGCATTCGCCATTTTTCCACGCACGGAGATACCAAAGCGAGTACCGCCCAACGATTTATTCGCACCATTTAAATCCAAACTGTATCGCTATTTTACAGCCGCCAATACGTTGAAATATACCGATGTCCTACCCAAACTTTCATCGCAGCATATGCATAGCACCTGTCAAAGTGGACGAGAAGAATAAAACCCAAGTCTAGGAATCGCTGTACGGAGTTGAGACAAAGACACGAAAGAAACCCGTATTTAAAGTCGGTGATAAAGTGCGTCCCAATAAGAAATTTCGAACGTTTAAAAAATATATATCTACCGGGTTGGACTGAAGAAGTATTTGAAATTCGTAAAGTGGTGCGTGGGAAAGTCACGACCTATAACATGCGCGAGTTAGACGAGACGCCATTACAAGGAAGTTTCTATTCGTGGGATTTACAAAAAGTGCACGTGGATACAGTGACGTATTTTCGAGTAGAGAAAGTATTAAAAAGATCGAAAGATAAATTATTTGTCAAGTGGAAAGGGTATCCTAGTAAATATAACAGCTGAAAAAGAAGATTTAAAGTAATTGGTGACATCATGAGAGGTGGTGCTTTAAGAAGATTTTATGTACACGTTCCCGGACAACAGAAAGGGGGAGCGATCAATCGATGGGCGTTACGTGCCCCTCCGTTTATTAGAAGTTGGGATAGACGGTATCCGGAATATCAGGTGGGAGCTGGAATCAAAGACATGGTGAAAGATGTGGCGCGAGAAACGGGGAGAGGCCTTAAAAGGACATTCACGCAACGATCCCTGCCAGCATTACCTAGAGGGGTGAAGAGAGGAGTAAAAAGAGCTGCCAAACACGAAGCGAAGAGAAGAGTATCTAGAAAACTAGACGATATTTTAGCCGATTAAAGATGGTCTACTGGGGAGAGGCCAGAGAGGGGAGTGGTCATATAGGTGTGGGTACGATGCCGTGACGACCATATTAAAAAGGTATAAAAGAAGGAGACAAAGGGGAGGATTTGTACGTATAAAGAAAATACAAAGGCCTCGCCGACTCAGAAACGCAGGAGACGTTGATGTACCAACATTTCAATCAAAGGCGCAGAACAGAATCTGAGTTTGAATTTGTTTCGTGTCCCACCTGTAGACCTTTCTACGGTAAAGCCACGTTTTATGAAAGTATCACGTCAGACCTCTAGTATTACACCGATTAAAGTGTACGTGCCTAAACAGACCGAGTTTATCGATTTGATGAAAAGTTTTGTGGAATTAGATTTGGTGTTTAAAACCACAGACGATGGCAATCTCACGTCCAGAGCGGATAACAACGGTCACATCTTATGGCCCGTCACTAACATAGCACACTCTCTGTTTAATCAAGTGAATGTGAAACTCAATGGAACTCTCATCACTGAGCAAGTGGACATGTATCACCTGAAAGCCTACATTCAAACCCTCTTGAATTTCGATCGCGCAGATGGCGAAGCCATCTTAGGACCAGCGGGGTGGAGAAACAATATCGACACACCCGAGACGTATACGGCCAACAGTGTGACTACTGGAAACGGAGCCAATGATGCGTTATCCGCCAATCATAAAGCGAGTATCAAAACACAGAAAGCAGATGCCCGATCCTATCATGTGGGAGGAAAACACAGAGTGCTGAGAATGGTACCCTTTGTGGATATTTTTTAGAAAGGGAAATGGTTAGCGCCCAGGACAGAGATGGATTTAAAATTTTATCTCAATCCGGTAGCGCTTTACTTTAACGGGGAAGCCAATCCACCCGGGGAAGAAGTCCGTGTCAATGCAGACGATATCAAACTCACCTTTTATGTATGCTTAGTATCCCTCAAATCCTTCGGTGTATGACAACGCCATGAGCCTCATCACCAAGACCCCAGCTAAATATCTCATCATTCGTACAGAAATGCGACAGTTCCCACTCGATAATGGGGCTGCGTCAAAAGAAATCATCAATTCGTTTAACGGGAAAATACCACAGAGAATCGTGATGGGAATTCTCGCCACGACAGTCTTTAATGGACAATATGATAAAGATCCTTTTGTCTTTGGGAAATTTGGAGTGGAGTGGGTCAAACAGATTTGGAATGGGAAAGAATACCCATACGAGACGATGCAATTGAACACAAGGAACGGGTACAGAGATATGATGGGGTATCATAGGTTTTTGGAAGCGACGGGATGTCTGTATAGAAAGGGTGGAAACATGATTTGAGCTACTGATTGGGGGCATGGAAAGAATTGCACTTGTTTGCCTGGTCTAACGTAGCCAACGGAAGACACGACGATCCGCTATTGCTCCCTAAAGAAGAAGGATTTATTAACATCCAGCTGAAATGTGCAGCCCAAACAGCGCAGAGAACCATTGTGATTTACAGTGAATACGAAAGCATGCTGGAGATCGATGGGTTTAAAGGAGGCTAATAACCACATGGCAGGTCTTATAGTTTCTTTTAAAACATCGTAACGGACGATAACTCTCTAGAATCAAGCACGAGATCCTCAAGGAGCTTATGGCATCTGCTTAATGGCGGGAAGGTGAAGACAAGCTGTTTAATAGTTTTAAATCATTTCTTTTAATTTTCTGAGCTAATGGAATCGATAAAACAATTGGTGGCTGTGTTTTAACGTCGACACATGAAATTACATTTGATTAACTAGTAGCTCGTCAGAGTAATTTGATAGGAGCAAAATCACTTTATAGCTATAGCACGATATGCATCAGGTGTTTGTTATAGCCTCATAATACTTTGCACTTCCAAGTTTGAAAGAAAGTAAGATTTCCTGAAATGGTCCCTCAGTGAATAATTTTACGAAGAAAAGCTCCCAAGATTGGGAAACGCGTAATTTTCCATCTTCTCTTTCCCAGGAGCAAAGAAAAGGACCCGTCCACCTTCTCTATTTCCGATGTGGCAGCCTAATCAGATTACCTACGGTACGTCTAAATCCTCTCCCTCGATAGGTGATATAAATTACAGACTGATTCAGTTGGTGACATGAACTTGATTTAATTTGTGTTGAGCTTTGCTAAATCGCATAGCTTCAGGTGACCTGGAAAATCACCATTTTTGCAAGATTGATTGATTGTCATTTACTGAGCCACTAGGAAAATCGCTCCTGAAAACAGGCCGATGTTTGTCGTCTTTAGTCAAGAGTTTGTAATCTATAGATGAATGATAGCAAATGAGATTATTTCTTTGATTCAACAATAATTTCTAAGACTTTTAATCGCCCCTGGTCATGCAATAACGAATACATTTCAAGGAACATATTTACATAACAATATCATAGCTATTCATGCAACTGGCGGAAGGAAATCAATCATTTGTAGGCCAGTGACGTATTTTGCAATGGCTACACTAAGATATTGAACAGTTGGAAATATTTAACGAAAGGAATTATTTTCATTAAGTTGCCTTGTATATCGGTTCTTAAGACTACACGAAAGTACGCCTTATTATATCATTTCAGATATATAACATTAACATATCCTATACCTGATAAAGAAATCTATCCCAATTTTTGTTTCTACGCTATATGCAGTTCTCACGTGCTTGCATGATGTATTCAAACAAAGGTCAGCCCTAACGATTTCTTGTTATCCAATTACGAATTTCATCTTTTCTTAAAAAATCGTGTTATCCAATTAAACATTTCCTCATTTACTGCCACGGATAAGCAGTCTTGAACGGGACCCTCGTGACGGCCATTCTCTTTAAAATTGACACCTTTAGTGCTGTCTCTGGATATAAGGGAAGGAATTGACTATTATGACATGTGTGCATAAAACTACACGCAATCAGCAGTAGGTGCAGTCCTCGCACCCTATATAAGAACTTACCACCAAGGTCGTCGTCAATAAACTGTTTTTCCGCATCGAGGTACGTGCATCCAAAGAATTACACCAAAAGAATTACAATTCGATCCTCACAAGGAGTAGGTATGTAACATCTGACTGCTTGGTATGCAATTTGCAGTTTATCACGAGAGATTTAAACTTACGTGCTTAGATCTTATTCATTTATACTTTTTCAAACGAAGGGCTTTCCGTGAAACGTTTACCCCATTTACTGCTACAGCTGTTCAATTCTGAGTTGCTTAGTCTTACCAACTTTTACCACATAGGGTTTGCACGCTACACTCAGTAATTTTGCAAACAGCAAGAAGATCGCAGTATTTATCATCACTTGCACGGGAGCGAAGTCGAACTCTGAACGTTTTGGAACGTTTTTCGATGGTATTTCAGAATAAAGAACGCTCAGTTTATCTGACATATTCCAAGCTCGCGGTAGCCTATAATTTTCTTTTCTACTCAGTGTTCTGTGAAATTCGCTTTTCCAAACTACTGTGTCTCAGTTTTAGATTCCTTTTTGTTCGGGAAGATACAAATAGCAAGTCAATGTCGAGTCAATGAAAAGCTAGGTCAAAAATTATATACAATTTATAAAAATGGCTTCCCTAAAAATTATGATAATATTTACCTGATTCGAATTTTGAACGGTCTAAGATTTTAAGAACGAATGCTTCAGTCCTTTCAGTGCTTGCAGTTAGATTTTCAACTGACCAAATAGGCCTTTCAAACTCTCTGGATTTATGTCCTAACTCTTAACAAGCAGATAGATTTACAATACAAAGGTGAAGCTAGGCTTCTTCAAGATAGACTTCATTTTATTTTTAAATCAACCAATCCTATGCAGTTCGTTCGCTTCCTGTTCATTGTCACAGTGGCATAAAACTTATATTTCTTCAATCAATCTTTGCCTACGTGATTCATTTATACTCTCGAATCCACTTTAAAAGTTATTCCCTTAACTGTCTTGATTTAATTCAATCAGTCTAATTCGATTGCGATACAATTTCTTTGAGAAAACGAATACTTATGGTAAATTGCCAAAGCGAGCGATTAAGGACTTGAACCGTAGCTAGAGTTATTAGCTTTCGCTTTAACTCACTGGCATGACATGCGATGATATGCTTCTTCGAACTTTCACCTAAATATAGAAAACATTTCACCCACGTTAAGGTTTTACGTTCTCAAAAAACAAAACTTTACATATATATATATAGGAAGTCTGCAAGTCGATTTTCGCGTGGAACAGTGCTCAATACGTTGAAGCAGAGCAGAATAAATATTATGAGAGGAAAAAAGGACGTAACTACATTTCCCGAGAAGCCTGTTTCGTGAATCGCTTCACTCTTCAGGGGTTTAATCCAGGGATTAAACC